CAATATTTCCATAGATAATTAATCTCTGCAATTTCTCAGCGTTTTCCCTTCGAAAAAAGAATATCGATATATCGGTATACGAAAAACAAACAGAAAACATCGATAATGAAAGTATTAAGATATTCTGCGAAGATAATTCCGAAAGTGTCGAGTATAGTGCGCCAATTAGTTATATATATAAATTACGAATCGGCTACTGATACTCTGTGTAATTAATTGTCACAATAAATTTATGGATTATCACTACAGATACCGCGAGGCATATCGGTATCTGTAAAGTAACAACAAGTGGTATCTGCATGCAGGTGTATAGGCATTGAATAAGTAAGCATTGGCAGCTCGTTAAATTGATGGCGTCCCTATACATGTGTTATACTCGTGTGCCTGATTTCCCGCCTTTGCGATAACACGAGACGAGTTATCGGATTAAATTTATGTAACGCGCTGCACTGCCGCGTGCGTTCGCGCGAAATTATTTTCGATAACCCGGGGTGATAACGTCGCCAACGTCCGCGTACCGACTGTCGTCCAATGTTTTTCCTTTCACGTTCGTTAGCAGCCGGTCACGCTCCGACGAAGGAGATTGCGCCAAGATTCATCGTTCGTCCGCGCGAAATTAGCGCCGCGATTCGGATTATACGATTACGTGCCTTTTCCACCTGCCGGGTCTCGCGAAAGTTCAAGAAAACACGTTCCCAACGCGAGCTGAACGCGACGCGCGATAATTCCGCGAATTAATCGCCGCCGTCGTCGCGACGGGATTAAACGGAGAGTAAAATCAGATTGGCGTGATCGATCCTCAGGAAGCGATTTTTCTCCGCTCGATAAGACCGGGACGATCGGCGAAAGAACGTGACGTCCACCCCGCGCGTGGTTTCAATCTTAAAACCTGCGCTCGCGAAAGAAGTGTACCTTTCGAGATATAATCCGCTTTTCTTATCGTCCGACATTTTGCTTATACAACTCTGATACATGCTGCAGGATTGTGCTATATATTTCAAGATTACGTTTATACATGAAATAATATTTACGTATTGTTTATATTAAATCTGTACAAATCTCTTCCACGTAGATAGTATACGATGTAAATATGTAATTAAATTAAAGAAACAGTTTGTGATTTCAAAAGTAAATTCAATATAAGAAAAGCGTTTATAGCCTCCGTGATTGTTGATGCGTAAATAATTTATGTACATATCAGGCAAAATTATGCGATTCGCTAACAATTAGAACGTGTATAACGAACAAAATCGTTTGCAAACGTTTCGACGCCGGATTCGAGTCTTCTTCAGTGCGGAAGTAAAGTACAAACTAAAGCGACAGTGTAGTTTAGTTTTGTACTTTACTTCCGCACTGAAGGGGACTCGAATTCGGAGTCGCGAAACATTTGTAAATGATTTCGTTCACTGTGTATATACGTTCTAATTATTTACGAATCTCGCATCGCCTTTTACCCTGTCATATAAGATACTCTTATAGCCACTTTTCTCGTAGCGAAATATGTAAATTATTACAAATTAAGTAATACAATTCGAAAAGAAATAATTAAGTTTTGTGCTTGTCAAATAAAAATATACGGGATGTCTCGAAACATTATCGTTTAAGAGCGGAGAAATGTTAACGTTGTAAGAAGAAAAATCCCATGATAAAAAAATATCGAAGGCACAATAGTCCTCAAATTTGCGGCTAAAGTCCTCTAACGCAGAGCTGACGTTTCGCGCGCTCCGGCACGATGATAAGACAAGTGGGGTGAAGGTGCTTCAGGACTCCCTCGGCAAGTTCAAGATTATCGTACAGATATGCAAGATAAAAGCGAGATAAAAGGCTTTAGTGCAGCCCAGTGCAACAACGAAGAACATAAGCTTCGATGGCCCATAGATGGACCATAGATTGTGCACTCACACGAAAGACATAGTTTACATGGTAGAGATGTAGATTATATTTTCCATAAACGCACAATCCTGAATATATGTCTTTATTATCCTAAACATCGGCGCGTATTAAACTTTAATAATTCAGCAATTCATCACAAACACCTCTCAGGCGACAGGCGTGTCTAAAAGACGTCATGAAGACGGGATATGCATGTCTAAAAGATATCTAATAACGAATTCGATTGAATGCACTTAGCGCGCACAACAGGTGCATACAAAAGCCGCCGTACTTTGACGTGAAAATACGTTTAATATATTGAATTATGAAATACATTTTATTGCGCTGCGAAGTAAAATCTGTATTTTATAATTTGAAATATTTGCATTTTAGTTTTACAATCAAATTCGCTATATAAGACACCGTAAAGAGAGTTTTCTAGACAAGACGTGTGTCGTCTTGAGTTAATATCACAATTCAGCAGTTATCGTATTACACTTTAGAATTAATGCATCAGTACTAACAGCATTGGAACGGAATTTTACGGCACAAAAATAAAGTTCTCAGTCAGGTTCAATGAGTCCTCTCATCGTCGCTCTTTTACTGACGACGAATTTCGACCATCCTCGGTAAGCGAGTTTAAAGGCTCCGCCGCTTAGCGAGCTTAAACTTCTCAAAAGGCATCGGTAGGCTTAAAGTAACGAGTCCGCCGCACGCTGACGCTTGTGTTTTAGCCGTTCGGTCAGGTGCGCGCCTGTCTCTTAAGTAAAGACACGTAAACAATGGATGTGATAATCGCGCGCAGCTGTTCGTGGACTCCGAGGACGATCGCGGTGAGTAACAGGACTCGGAGAAGAAGTACCGCTGCTTCGGCTGTACGAGAAAGAGAGAGAGAGACACAGAGGTCCGCCACGGAGAGAAAAACCGCGGGCTGCTGCGTCTTTACGGGGAACACTCTCGCGTTCATACGCGCTCGTACGTGTCGACGGCCGAGCGACGGAGGGGACGGAGTTTCGCATTCACTCGCAGGCACGCACGCACGCACGCACGCACGCACGCATACACACGTACGCGGAAAATAAAGAGAGAGAAACTCACTCCAGAAATAATGCACAGTATCCATCCAAGCCCGCGGTGGCGAAGATAGGACGTTGCCTTCCTCCGGGATTATCGGAGCTCGTTTAACAGCGATCCGTATTACAGTACGACAAAACGACACAACAAAAACGTCGGGGATACCCCCTGAAGTTTCCTCCGCGCGACGACACTGATCTCCTCCTCCACCTTATCTTCGCCGTCGTCGGCGTAGTCCGACGACGACAAACGCACTACTGACACTCCTCCTCCCTCGGGTGTTTTTTTTTTATAGTGATGATCACGCGATAGTCTCCCGTCTTCGCACACGAGGTTCACAGAAGAGGGATACGGATCTTCCTGCGGTTTCTCGTCACTCCGGAGACACTCACCGGCCTCCCTCGGGCAACTTCCTCGTAGCGCGTCGCGCCGCGACGCCTGTCGCGTGCATTACCCCACGCACGTTTTTCCCGCGTTTCGGTCCCGCACGCGTCTACCGGGCGGCCGCGCGGGGTCGTCGGATTGAACGGGAATACCCGCGAAGAAGAAAAAGACGTTATTACGTGTATTACGGAGACCGACCGGGAAGACACAAGGATGTACACACTTCGCTCGCTCTACCTCGTCTAGAGAGAGAGAGAGAGGACACGATCTCTCGCCGATGTACTCCGATTCGACTTGGCGCCTCGCGACTGAGGCACCAAGCAGCGATCCGATGCGATGCGATCCGATGTGACGTTGACGTGACGTGATGCGTCGCGTGCGTCCGCGCGCGCCCCGCGACACTTTTCAAAACAATATACAACCAAACACACCAACCAGCGCACGTCTCACCCCGTACGTGTGCTCTCGCTTTAAGCGCTTTCTCGCGCCACCGCTGTGCGCCACTCCGCCGCGCGGCTTCAGTTCCGTCTCCCCTACCCTCTTCCCTCGATCGTCGCCGTCTCTCTCTCTCTCTCTCTCTGCCCCCTACCACCTACCCTTCCTCTCTTCCAACCAACGGCGGTTTTTCCGCACGCACACGCCGCCGCGGATCAATAATTCACCATACGAATTCACCAGAAGCGGGCGAACGGCGCGACACGAGCGAGCGAGTGAGCGAGCGGGCTGGCGGACGGGCGACTAGGCGGAGAGCGGAGCACGCGTTTCTGTTACGGCGCCCCCGCTCGCGCCGGCACCGAGGAAACGCGCACGCAGCCCATACCACCGGCACACGCACACACACACACACCACCGTCGACTGATGACCGCGAGAAGAGAAGAGTTACCCTAACCTCGACGGGTGAGGTGAGCCGCGTCGCGTCGCGAATCGACTCGCACAGCTGACACAGATGACACGGCACGCTTATAAACACGCGCGAGCCCATATATGAATTCCGAGTACGTGAGCACCGAGGAGTAACGAATGCACGATGTAAACAGCCCTCTACCGGGGGGGGAGAGGGGGGGCAACACACGCCGGGCGTGTAGGAATGCCTTTCTTTCTCAAACGCGTAACGGAGCGGGATGGTTTTTCTTTCGCATTCTTATTTCTTTCACTTCCTCTCTTTCTCCTTACATACACGCTCCCCCTCGTCGTCTTCTTCTTCTTCTTCGGAGCAACGGCGGCAGAGCGGACGCTCGCCGCGGCCGAGCGGAAGTATCGCACAAGCGTGACAAGCTGAACGCGCGGGGTATCGGTCGCGCGGAGCGGATAATAACGGCGTCGTGTATTCGCTCGCTCAGTGAAGCACTCTCGTATATAGAAATCCGCGTGCTACATCAGTTTCTCTCTCTCTCTCTCTCTCTCTTTCACGCACACGTCTCTCTCGCTCCCTCTGTCTCACTCTTTCGCTCGTCCGTCTGTCAGTGACTCACACACACACACACACTCGCTCGCTCTCTCTCTCTCTCTCTGCGCGGGTAATATCGCCATCGTCGCTGCAGTCGGACTCGTTCCTTGCGCGGGCCTGTTGCGAGACGACGCCACCGTCAGGACGTCCACACGGGCGTGGACGCGCTCGCTCGCGTACGGCGTTTCAAGCGACGTTAACTCCGTATATCGTATTACTTACCACTTGGCTGAACTGCGTGACGTGGCGGCACGCGCGCGAGCGCGAGGGCGGCCCTTATTTTCACGGGAGGAAAATTCGCACGGCGTTATATCGACGCGCGGTACTGCACCACGGGTAAATACGAAGACGGTCACTCTCGTGTTTTTGGTATGCCAGGAATGGCACAAAGAATCTAGACAACGCACACGCCTGCTGCGCAGCCGGTCTGCGCACACGCTGGCACCGCTTAGGCGGCCGCGGGAGAAACCAGAAGCCCGAGCGCGGCCGACGCCGGCCGAAGGGAGGCCGAAGTCACCGCTCTCCGCTCTAATCCCCACCGCTCTCGCCGAGCGTCCTACCCCGATTCTCCCTCCCTCCCCCCACCACCGAGCCGCCATCCCGCGGCGCCCGCGCGTCCCCCTCAGCGTCCCTGTCCCCCTAGGATCAGTCGCGTCACGCACGTAATAGAGGTTGGATGTTAGTTGAGTGCGCTCTCACGTCCGTTCACTCTCTCTCTCGCTTCAGGTTCGAGGGGCACTTGTTGAATTTCAGGGGTCGCATTTTAGGCTTTGCAAATAAATGCGCTAATAAATGAGAATGTAGTATCACTGAGCTCGACGAGGAAACTCGTAACTGTCCAATTAACGCATCTTTCATGCGTTAATTCTCTCGAGTGATGATACGTAATCGAGTAGACTGTATCCACGTTTGAACAAATTGAGAAAATAAAGAATGGTTTTCTCCGCTTCGTGCGAAATATGGTTTCCATTATTACGTCATGTCCGACATTACGCTATTTGTAACTTGTTGCGTATATATAAATTAATTTGTCATACATATTGAATGTCGTAATAGCCGTTTATTACAAGTGCAGCATAAAGAAATTTGTTACAAAGGGAAAAGGATAAACGTTATGTACCATTTATTTTTTGAAGACGCATATTTTTAAAAATATGATATAATTAATAACGCATATTTTAATTATATATAATATATATATTCCAAAATGTCAAAATTTCATTTTATTGACCATTTTTTTTATAACTGCGATTAATTTCGAAATGTAATATTTTACAAAGTCATGAAACAGTACCCTCTTCTAAAAAAAATAAAATATTGTAATTTATATTCTACTTATTTTTAAAGAAATAATTCTTTTGTGAAACTCTAATTAAAACACATAGTATTAGAACAAGTATTTTTTCTTAACCCTAAAGCTGTAGGAAGCATTCCTTGAAGTTATTTAGTGAAAGTTTTTTTACCTCACACACTCGTTCGCCTACGAAATATCACGCACGTATATTGACGCTTCGATGCTAATTTAGATTGAAAATTAGCTAAAAGACGTTGAATTTAAAAAATGTTGAGGATATTTTAGCATCAACACATTGTTATTTTTTATCACGTTATAAAAAAATTTTCTAAATCTAAGTAAATTTTTTTCAGTATAGAAACTATTAGGTACCGAATAGAGGAGGGATAAGGTACTTAACAAAGAATAAAGTAGCAGTCAAATTTGCAACATCAATTTAACATTGTAAGCTAATAAAATTATGATTAATAGGATAATTGATAACTGTTAGTATTTCTTGTTAATGTATTCTTAGTAAAACTCCGACAATATTATAACATCTAATCTTTATAGGATTCAAGTAGAATTTAATTTTGTTGTACATTTTACGTTAAAATAATCATTAATAAATTATTAAGTAAAAAAAAAGTTATTAATTCGAATAATCACTTATTGTTAGTTATTTTGTGTAAACGATTACCTGAGGTTTTCATATATCAATTAAAAATAGCTGGATTTTTGTAACAGTCAATTACACTGGAAAAAATTGTTAAAATAAAACTAATGCGTTATAATTAATAATGCAATAATTATTTTACATATAACTATAAACAAATTTTTACTTTAAATGAAGTTAAGATTTTTAAAAGTAATTAAGAGTTTACTTAAGAAATTTAAAGTATTAATTTTACTTAAAAAATATAAAATGTAGAAACGAGTTAATCTAAAATAATCTAAGAATTTTTAAGTATTTCAAGATTGCCATACCCTAAACTCTAAAATAATCTTTTAAAAACCGAAAGTTTCATCATTCCTATTGTATCTGGATTTTTTTAAGTGCTTTTACGTTTTAAAACAAAGTCTGTATCCATAGTTTTTATATTATTATAAGACCGGCTTAAATACAGTTTTGAGATGTCGTAAACTAATTACAAAGCTATATTAGCTGCTTAAGACATCACTTAAGACAATTTGATGTAAGGACTATAAATACGCGAGCCTATGAGCTTTTTATAATCTTACGTATTAATCATTGTATATCTAAATTAAGTTTTAAATAGATTCAGCATACGTTTTAAAAAAAATTTAGAAAAATACGTTAACGTTTTAATAACCGGACACGTAACTGAACATTACACAAAATTTTATATATTTGTTTATATTATTATTAATCTTAAATACTTTTTTAAATATAATATAAAAAATATATAAATTTAATTTCATTTAAATACTATTAAAGTATAATATTGTAATAAAAAATCATTTGAGATTAATAATAATAAATTTTATGTATCCAAGTGTCCAGTGTTGCGCTTAGATAATTAAAAATGATCTATATATAGATAAGATAAATGACACAAAAATGTATTTTAGATAAGATAAAGATAATTAATTTTACATTAATATAGATAAAAGATAATATTAAAAAAATTCTTATCTAGATAATTTTTAAGATATTTTTATTTTTGAGTAATTATTAGGTAGTAAAATGATTTAGGATACAAAAATATATTCATATTTTTATAAATATTTTATGAATATTTTGTATACATATATTTTATAAATCTTTATTTTTAAAAAATAAAAGTTTTGCGAATATATCATCTGATAAATGGTTTCTACGTGAATTAATATTTGTTGTCCGCAACTAAAAAAAACGTTCTACTGTCGCTATTGATGGCAATGACGTATTGTATTTAAAAAAAAATTTGTTTAATGTGTGGACATAAATTCAAAATATCTATTCTTTTGATTTACTTTTTAAATATGAAAGTACTTCAAAGTTGCTTTGAATGACTGTGTCGAATTAATCCTTTTTTTTTATCTATATCGCGAAAAAAATCCTCACTATTACTACTGGAGGTTGATTGTTTACATAGAAACTTCTTACAATACTCTTCCACAATCTTAGATAAATTGAAAAAGATAAGGCTTTTTAATCTAAGATAAGATAAAGATAGTCTATATTCTTAATAATCTAGATAAAGATAAGATAAAGCCATTTCTTCATCTAGATGATTATCTAAATAATTTTATCTACATAACGGAAAACACTGCAAGTGTCCAGATATAGGTAGTCTGGTCGTTTACCTGTTCAGCTTTTAAGCAGGAGCAGTTATATGTATATAATACTTTGCTCGGTCCATTTAGCTTTCAATATTGAAGAATATTTTCAATTCTTCCATTATCTATAATTCAATTTCAATGACGGCGCACGTTTTACATTTTATGTGTATTTATTTTTTATGCACAAGTCTTTTTATTTTTTTATTCTTAAAAAGCTTTTCTGTTTTCATGGGCCCTCTTGCCAATATCCATACGATATATAATAGAAAACTAACACAGAGACCATTTCGCAAAAGCGTTGCGCGACAATAAAGCGGTATCTCAAAAAGGAAAACGCGCCGTAGATTAATAACGACAACGTCAAACAGTACGGTCTCGCAAACCGAAACGCGGTGCGCGTACGAAAATAATGCCCGGAGCTGTTAACTTTTGCGACTGACACAAAGCCTGGCTGTAATTAATGCCTTTAAACGTTTGCCGCGCAATGAGCTCCTTTTGTCAGTCGGATGCATTGTACACGTATACTGTACAAAAGTTTACAAACAGGACGGAGCAGCGGCGCAATGTGGCAAAGCGCGACGCGACGCGATGCGACACGCTGTTCCGCGTCGTCAGACTAAACTAAAACGAATGATTTTCATTCACGTTACGTGTGTTACGTATGGAACCGGCGAACTTCGATTTCGTTCAGCATGTCCCTTTAATTACTTAATTGTGTTAACGCAAACTTCCGCGGTCCATCCGAGAAAAAGTGTCGCTTGTTCCTTTTTAGCTGCGATATCACGCGATTGTAATGCAGTTATAGCGAGATATTACGGAGCTTTTGTTATGTTGTAACCGTTTTTGAAGAAATCAACATTGTTATATGTTGAAGAAATTCGCGAAAATTCGCAATAAACGTCGAATTTTCATCATATACGCTGCGAAATAAGACTTAAAGTCTTGACACATAAAAAAATTTGAGAGTTAAGACTTAAACAGCAAGCAGATCAACATATTGGATTCATTACTTTTTACATTAAGTCTTACGGTCTCTATTGTGATTGATCAATTCGCTACCTGCTTAAGTCTTAAGTTTTTATATGTGCCAAGGCCTTTAGACTTAATGTTCGAATTTCGATGTTCCTGTTGAATAGTTTGCTAATAGATTTAAAGTCGGTAGTCGATTCTTATACTTCAAGACTATTTTAAGTATAAAAGTTTAAGTCTTGAGATGCTAGTACAGCTTTGTAATTGGTTCATGATATCTTATATAACTGTGATAGTTATAATTAATACTTAAAATAGTCTTAGATATATGCAAGAATTGACTATGAATACATCGGCTGAAGAGTCTGATAACAATGCCACGCAATCGATCATTATAGTAAGTCTCGTCCAGACCAAAATATTGGAAACATATGTCGCTCGACAAAATTCAATTTTAAATTCAAATAACTGTGAGATACATTTTGTCGAATGCCTAGTTGCAGTTGTCGATAAAAATATTAACAGCAACTTAAAAATATGAATGATATCATATCGATAACAATATTGGTTACAAGTTTTTTATTTTTATCCTTAAGGCAATACTATAGAGATAAAAAAAATGTCGATGATTAGTGTCGTCGACATATAAATATAAATTTTGGTGACATCAAGAATGACATTATATTATGGCCGATATTCATAGCCTGTTCTTATTTGGAAACTGTCTTGTAATGTCTCAAAATGCACTATAATAGTTATTCTAATAAATGTTTCAAACGATTCAAACTATTATTATCGCTTAATTTTCTGCTTGATAAATTTCTGTCATTACATTATGGTTTATCTAATAAAATATT